CTGCAGGCGTGAGGAGCCGGAGCCCTCGCTGTGGCCAGGGCCCTGTGTTGGGCCTTTTAAGATGGCCGCTCCACTGGCGACGGCAGGTTGCTCGCCAAACACACCAACTGTCGCCTTCCTAGGTCTTGTGCTGAAGGTAAACCCCAAAAGGAAAAATGAGTGGAAAGATCAACGTGCACGTACAAATATGATACATACCTGCATGTCTCGTTGGAGAGCTTCGGCTGATGCCAACAGTCATAGAATCATAGAATGTTTAGGGTTGGAAGGGACCACTAGTGGTCATCTAGTCCAACCCCGCTGCAGTGAGCAGGGACACTGCTAACTAGATCAGATTGCTCAGAGCCCCATCCAACCTGGCCTTGAATGTTTCCAGGGATGGGGCCTCCACTACCTCTCTGGGCAACCTGTTCCAGTGTTTTACCACCCTCATTGTAAAAAATTTCTTCCTTACCTCTAGCCTGAACCTACCCTGTTCTAGTTTAAAACCATTTCCCCTTGTCCTAACACAGCTGGCCCTATGAAAAAGACGTTCCCCATCTTTCCTATAGGCCCCCTTTAGGTACTGGAAGGCCGCAATCAGGTCTCCCCGTAGCCTCCTTTTCTCCAGGCTGAACAAGCCCAACTCTCTCAGCCTGTCCTCATAGGAGAGGTGCTCCAGCCCTCGGATCATTTTTGTAGCCCTCAATGATAGCTATGAATTCAGTGGAGCTCTGTATGTTTATAAGTATTTGCATAATTAGACAGCAAATTATTAATAGGATTAGGTTTAAAAAAAAAAAAAAATCAGTAAGCTGTTCAATGTGCTGAGGAGATGTACTTTACAGCTCTGTCCTGGCAGAGTGAGTGGAATGGTGTTGTATATCAGTTTACTAAATTTGAAATGTCATGTTGCTGTGATTTGCCAAATGGCCTTGCAGCCAGATTTTCTCTCCCCTTTTTCTGTAGCTCTGGACCTACAGGGTGCAGGTCATTTAAAATTTTCACACTGGACATGGTAGATGTAATAATATTATACTCCCATGTTTTATGTTGAAAACCAAGTGTGAAAAATATTCCTTTTTACTAAATATTGTGGAATGAAAATACTCACTTGCATTTTAGATGAGGTGGAAAATACTGTTTTATATGTAAGCAAAAATTATTGAAAAAAGTTTTAAACATTGTAAGATTTGGTGTTTATTCTCTAACTGTTGGGATTTTTTTATATCCACAGGTTGTTCGGTGTGACTTCTCTTACTCAGACAAACTGTTCAAGCAC